TCATGTTAGTCATAAATAAAAACATGAAGGGTCTGTTGATATTGTGATATTTATTTTTCTTGAATTTGCCTACCAGTAATGAAGTAGTAGAGACGTCAGACATACATGTATAGCATTACAGAGAGCTTTACCTTTTAAGGTTTATAAATGTATGTCAAATAAGCCTTGCAATTCAGCCATCATGGCTGCCAGGAGGCTTGTCATCGCTCCTATGTGTTTGCTTGCTTGCTTGATAATGAACCAGTCTACACTACAGATTCTGAATGGAATTCAACCACATTTTAAGGTGCTAGAAGCAGATCTACATTGTATTAACAGTTTGGGAAAATTCAGCAGCCTGATTTATAAATACTGTTTACTTCTTATAAGATTTGTGGCATTGGAGAAAATCAAGAGTTTGCAATATCTTCGAGTTCACTGTTGAAACAATAGAACTTCTGAAACACATTGGAAATGACCAGGAGAACGGTCTTAAAACAAATGTTGCAAATATTTTGAGATTTACAGTATTTTATGCCTAGTATGGGAATAGTTCAATTATGGGGAATGTAAATTAGTCTCATTAACGCTATTATTGTCAGAATGATTTTTAGTCTTAAACTAGCCACAAGGCTTATTTTTTTGAGTTAAAGTTTTGGTTCCAACTCATACTGTACAGAGCTACAACCAGTCAGAAGTAGAGAGATTTTAATGAAGGTACATTCCTATCAATACGATGTATATTTAGTATGTCACGCTCTATTCTTCATGAAACAAAATGACAATTAAATGATAATGTACAATTTGGTATCAATACACAGTCCATAATATTACATTACATGACATTGTATATTAGATATCGTCTTTAACAATCTTTTATGAAAGTTGACATCCTTACTGTCATTGCCTTGTATGCATTTGTCACTATTTAGCAGTTGACAATCCTCAATAATCACTTGACCTGATTTAGACTGGAATTTTACTGATTGTTAGTCATATTCTCTTTACTTCGTTCCATGCTGATCAGTAAAGCCCTTTTACGGGGATTGCAATTTTGCATGCCTTTTTTAGAAGATGTAATATTATTTCCCAATGAAGACATAATCAGAATGTTCTAATTCAGTATAATTTGTAATCAAACAGCTCTAATTCAATGCTGAGTACAGTCAGTGGATGGCTGAATGCCTTTAGGATGTTTATAAATCTACCGAAGTGTGTAATTGTGTGCCAATAATTTGAGTCCTTTGAGCATTTTAATTCCCCCATGCAGACCCACATTGATCCCCCGTGACAAGAGCTGTTTGCCTAAATCTCATATCCGGTACTGGTACAGAGGTTTATGGGTACAGATCAGGACCTTATAGTTCCTGAACAATTTGGCAAAGTCACCTGTGGCCTGCAGTGATGAAAGAAACATCAATATACTTTGGTCTTCAGGTATCTTATGCAGAGAACCAAATTGATGCTTTTGAAAGGATCTCAAATCAAAGATGGTGTTGATTTCAAAATATATGTGTTTTAATTTATTTCCAGTGTTAAATTTCCATCTTAGTAGTAGAAATAACACATTTGTAGAAACATCAATATGTTAATTCAGGTACAGTACTGGTACATTTAATGTTTTGGTATTTAGACCTGTACAATGTATGCAGGACTCCCTCTGACCATAGAATGCAGGAATATCAGGCTTTTGTTGCTATGAACACAAGCATACATGTGTAACTTGAAATACCCAGATACAGGGTATGGAGCCTGTCCTCTTGAAGCAAATGTTAATGTGTCCATTGGCATTTTGTGAATATGTCTATTGTGAAGATTCACTGACCTATTATGTACAAGTCTCATGTATCATCTTATTCTGCAACCCAATTTTTATTCAAGATAAAATAACCTAATAATGATAGTATCGCCTCAAAATAGTCTGTGATTTATTACAAGAATTTGTAATTGACCATAATATAAAAGCCACATCAATGGCAGGTTAGATTTAGATCAATAAAGACCTGCACATCTCTCATTATGTTATCCTTATAGTGAAAATATATAAATATTTTTATTATTATGATAATTTGACAATAGAACAAGGACATCATGTAACATATTTGATATTAAACCACAGGTGCCCTACACATTGCTTCAATAGTGACCTTTTTTATGTTTGCACATCATTAAAATCCTGTTTCTGTATAACGATGACTCACAGGTTTATATCACTGCTGAATCATATACCATGTATCTTCTAAAGGGGCTCTATATAACAAACTACTCAACATATTTGGTACCATGTTTGGAATTACCCCCTGTCAAGCATGGCCCCAATACTGTAAGCCCATGTGGGATGCAAGTGGAGAATGAATAAATTATGATAATAGCTTCAAATGAACCAATGGGTGGTGAGGTTAGGAGAATGTTATTTCAGCTAGTGTGTCCCAGGTCTATGTTACCTTCTGGTGCCCAGGAGTGGGAGGTACCTAAGGTTTCCTGCGGCGCCAGCTAAGGACGTCCATCCTTTTTTCTTGTGTCATCGTGTAAGTAGAACTTCATTACAAATGTCTGAATTTAGTGTTGCCTGAAATCATATTTATGATAGCTATAAGATGTGTTGTCGGTGGTTCAGTTTTTTAGCTCAATATTAGATCGTTGGCTGACCATTAGTATGAAATCTTCCATGTCCAAGCCCATTTGGTTGCGTGAATGCTTGAGGTACACTGTTATGTATTGTGTACCAGTGAACATCATGCATGGCTGAAATGGCCTCCATTGGAACATGGACTGTTGTTATGTTACATCACAAATGCAGACATGCCTATACTGCACTGGATATTTCTTACTCACTGCTCCAAGGCATCCTGCATTTTTCAACTGTGTAATGGTAGAGAGGTACAAAAAGGGTTTGTTGGTTGTGTTAGATATAAATATGATTGTGGCTTCTAAATTTGATATTATCTTAAAAGGAGGTGTATATAGTCGGTCGATAACTGCTGTATCATTAGCCCAGTGGGCATTAAAGCATCAAAGGTGAAGGTAGTAATTACCTGCAGCATTTATTAAGGTTCATGAATATTTAGTCAGCATATAAATAGCCTATGTTGACATTTAAGGAATAATTGGTGTCACCCTCTATTCAATTTAGACAGAAGAATATAATAATGATTATTTGACCATTTCAAAAATCTTCCTGGAATAACATCTGTACATATTATAACAGTAATATATTTATTTATGTTGTACTGACCACCCTATACATGTAGGTTTCTATAGTCTATTATGTTGTGTGAATAGCCCCATCAGGTTTGTAGGTCACAGAAAGATGAATGTTTCTCACAACCTGTTATTTAGTAGTACAGTCCATTTAGACCCTGAGGAGGGGAACAAAATATCAGCCACTCAGGTAAATTTCTTCCAGGTTTTGTCACAAGATTTCATAATTTATTGTGTTTTTCTATCATGTTGGCATTCTAGGAGCTCCAAGGTTTATGTATTCATTATTTCAGTACTCCTGAATTGTCCTTGGTATCTTAAAGCCTGGGGTTGAATTCCCCAGGATTTTTTAAATTTTTTTTTTAAATTTCACTGCCAATCGATCTCAGTCAAAGCTGCTTGGTATCTAATACAAAAAATTATGATTTCTATTTATATTATATTATTGTTTTGCGTTGAAGGTTTACACACTAATGTAGTGCTTGCATGCCACACATTTATGTTACTGCCTTGTGTAAAAAGGGCAAAAGATCTATCCAGATTTGCTTTGTGCCATTTAACCTGCTCTAACCACCCTAATCACTGGATCAGCAAACCCATGGGCAGTATGTACTTATTACAAATTCAACAGCTGGCCAACAGCCATGCCATGTGCTCTGTCTTGTAAAGCCATGGTATTGGGGACACCATCATTAGGGCTGATCCAATCACTGATCATCCTACATTAGATATGCCCTCATTGTGCCAAGTTGTTCTTGTTGCTATAGATTTATGTCCCCATTTTGCTTCCCTATAGGTAGATGTGTTTTTTCCTAACATTTCTTATTTCCATGAAAGCTGGTATATTATGTTGAAACACAGTTATACTGGATTTACAGATACAGATAGATGTCTTGACTCCATCCTCATTCTTGCAACCCTTCCTTAAAGGCTGCTGTCAGGGCAAGCAGTCTTGATGAATGATTGGATTTGCATGTGTCCAAAAAAAGTGCAGGGGTATTTCTACTGGGCTGCAATTAAATGGACATTTTACCACATTTTAGTCTACAACTAGGCTAGGATCATTGTAGATATCAGATATCTTTTGCCTTTGTAGACTGTATTCAGCATCAGGGATAGTGTATTTCCCTGTGTGGGTGGTGTTCAGCACCAAGGACAGGTACATTTGCTTGTGTGTGTGTGAATGGTGTTCTGCACCAGTTACAGGTTTGTGTGAATATGTGTGTGGATACACCAGGGACAGTTATGTCCACCCGTGTGCGTGGATGGTGTTCAGCACCAAGGACAGGTTTGTATGTGTATGAATGGTGTTCAGCACCAAGGGCAGATGTTTTCTTGTGTGTGTGAATGATGTACAGCACTGGGGACAGGTTTGTACAGTGTGTATGGATGGTGTTCAGCACCAAGGACAGGTTTGTATGTGTATGAATGGTGTTCAGCACCAAGGACAGATGTTTTCTTGTGTGTGTGAATGATGTACAGCACTGGGGACAGGTTTGTACAGTGTGTATGGATGGTGTTCAGCACCAAGGACAGGTTTGTATGTGTGTGGATGGTGTTCAGCACCAAGGACAGGTTTGTATGTGTATGAATGGTGTTCAGCACCAAGGACAGATGTTTTCTTGTGTGTGTGAATGATGTACAGCACCGGGGACAGGTTTGTACAGTGTATATGGATGGTGTTCAGCACCAAGGACAGGTTTGTATGTGTGTGGATGGTGTTCAGCACCAAGGACAGGTTCACACAGATTTTTGTACAAAAAGTGATCTCTCCAGAGAAGAAAAACTATTTATTTTTGCTTATCATATCTATGTTACAGAAAATGAGATTGACGATCTCGAGATGCAGGTGATGCGATATAAACCAGAGGGCATTGACGAGCTCGTACGGAACACCAAGTTCACCAAGAAAGAGCTCCAGATCATGTACAGGGGCTTCAAACAGGTGAGACACTGCACAGTCTGTAACACTCCGGTTTGTCTAAGGCCACACCTCTTTGATTTCTTAGATTTGCTACTTTCTGCTTTCAAGAATCACTAAAAATATTTTCCTGAATTCCCCCATGTGTTTGTGCTACATTACAAGTTCAAAAGTTCAAAGTTTGAAATACTAACCATCCTGGTATGTTGACTTTGTGTCACCTGTTGTAGAATTTAGGTCCATCACAGGATGCCTGTTCCTGTTTTATTTGATTTTTCCTGCCTGCTCCACATTTTCCTGCAAAATACAAGAACCATTTAGAAAATGAATTGGTGTGGTCTAATGCGCAAGGTTATGCACTAGGTAATGTGGTGACTATCACTGTTACACATTAATCACATATTGATCAATACCTTTGTGAATGTATTAATGTGACAACCTTTCTGGCTCTGCCATATTCATCTGATAAGCACACACCAATTTATTGCAAACTGCCACATTTGCTGATATGCTATGGGGGCCAAAATTACAATGCTAGATATGCACTAATTGGCCCAATTCAATTCAAGTTACCTACTGTACCTACAGGTCGACTGGATTTGTAGATGTCTATGTCTTTATAGGTCTGGATAAAGTATATTTAATTTAGTAGTCATGGCAAAATACAAGAAGCATAAACAACAGTTTTATTAATGTAATAGTATTTTGCAAATTCACTATTACTTGTTTATGCAATTTATGAATATGTTGAATATTTTTTCAGCACTGTGTATGATGATAGAATGAAATGAGTTTCTGGTGGGTAACACATTCGGTTGTCTGCAAATGATTTTGATTTCTGCATGACTGTATGTACTTACCACGTCACTTTAGAGCCTAACTCACAGGACACAGAGGGGTTTGCACCAGCTGGCTCATGAAGATCTCTACAGCTGCTGTAAATGCACTGCTTTATTTCTCTTTCATTTTTCATTTTCATTTTTATTTATTTACCCAGGGTAAACATGTCGCCGCAAGGGCGTTTTTCAATGTTCCCTGCGGACATATACATTAATTTTTACAAAATATACTTATTAGCTTAAAATAACAAACAGGAAAACAAAGGTACAATTAGCTTAATTGCAAAAATAACATATTGGTAAAGTGCTTAAAAATCATACGGTAAACTAATCACTTATATGAAACAAGCGAATAAAATGCAACAAATGAAATAAATAAAGAAGGTAATGGAAATTTGCATATCAATGTTACAAAACAAAAGTAACGGTTACTATGTTGCGAGAACATTCTGGTTATACAAACGCTTAAACGAGGCGACGGAAGCAGCTGTTTTCAATGTAGATGGGAGAGCGTTCCAAAGAGCTGCACCAGTACTGGACAAGGATTTCTTTTTGTATTGTAGATGAGCCTTTGGCAGTTTCTTCCTCTGCTCCATTGGAATCTTTAACATTACTCCTAATCTTCTCAAATGTCATCAACTTTACAAGCGTAACAGTAAGAAAAGACAAACAACAAACAACAAACATATGACCTCAATTTTTATTAATATCAATTTTGTTGGAAAAAACATATCCTATGAAAGTAAAAAAAAAACTATAATTTTACACAATGTTTAAAGTGAATATTCATAAAAAAAGACGTAAGAAATTTTTTTTTAGAAAATTCCTATCTTTTTTCCTAAACTTGTACTGACACAAGGGCTGCTATTGTTCACTTTTCCAGGAGTGTCCCACAGGCCTGGTAAATGAGGACACTTTTAAGAGCATATATTCCGAGTTCTTTCCCCAAGGAGGTAAGTACGTTGGCCTTACGTCTTTAAGGATGTCCGCAAGAAGTTCTTATTTTGAACCTTTGGCTTCTTGCAGGAGTGTCCCACAGGCCTGGTTAATGAGGATGCTTTCAAGGAGATTTATGCACAGTTCTTCCCACAAGGAGGTCAGTGGGGTATATGTAGGGTACACATTTCAGTTGTTTCTATGACTCCTGAGTTATCATCACTACTTTATGTTATCATATTATTTGAGTTTATATGATTTGTTAACTTTATGGATAAGCATTTTTTGTTCGTATCATATCATATCATATCATTTTATTGATTTGTCAAGTCTAGCTCCCTTGGAAATCAGTTATCATATCTGAAGAGACTACCCTTAAAATCCAGGAATGAAAAAATAATCAAAACACATCAAGAGTGTGTTTGTGCTGATCTGGTGTTCATCCAATCTACCTACAGTCTACTCCTCTAGAGCTCTGATCTCTTCCCTGAAAAATAGTCTCAGGCTGGCATTTAACCTTCTCCCTGCTGCCTAACTGCCTAACCGGTAGAGAACTGGCAGCCAAATGGCTACTAGTACTTCAGTGCAACATTAACTAATGTTTGAATATCTCTCAGAAGCAGTGTAACTACAGGAATGTTTGATCCCTGTTATACATGTGATAGGTCTGTAAGTTATTGATTCTGGGCTATTTCGAGCTTACATTCAGAGAATTATTTTTAAAATGATTTAAGGAAAGTAAATTATACTATGTAGACTAAGTCCGAAACTGTTAGGTACACCTCAATCCAAAACAGAAAATGTCATAAGAACACATGTAGTGTGTGAAATCTGAAAATAAATATTTGAATTGATTTCAATGAAAGGAATTGTCTGATCTCTTCACAGACTCGTCAGCATATGCGCACTATGTCTTCAATGTCTTTGATGCAGACCATAATGGCACCATCAGTTTTGAGGTGAGCACTATATAATTATACTTACTACTTTTATGTAAGTATCTTTAAATCTTTTGGAACACCTCAAGATTTTAAAAAATCTAAGACTTGTTTTAAAAAAAAAGACATCAGAAAATGTCAAGATATTTGGAAAAAATTTTTTCAACAAAGTGAGATGACTCTGGAGTTACAGAAAATGGGAGATGTAAGTAAGTAAGCCTAGGTGATGACTGGTGTGCCCTGATGTCCAGATGGGCCTCTCATAAAGTAATCCGGCTCAAAGTTTAGCTGATTAATCATGTTTGAATGTTGTGTAACTTTATAAGAGGCAAGTCAACTGTGTTCCTGAAATCTGGTTGTCAAAATGTATGTTCTGTCCCAAAGTGTTATATGAGGTGTTGATATATCGTGCATCCACTGAATGTGCTTTTTTTCTCTAATTTCAGGAATTTGTCATTGGTTTGTCTGTTTTGTCACGAGGCTCACTCAATGAAAAGTTGATGTGGGCATTCAAGCTGTATGACATCAATGGTGATGGGTACATCACGAAGGAGGTAAGAGTTTGGAACAACAACTTTGCACAGGGAGTAGAAAATATCTAGCCTGACTACATCACACTTCTAGCAGTCCATCCACAGGCCAGGCCACTAGATACCTGAATGACCAACACCTCTAAATCAGGAGAATTGGGAACATCTTGATCCTGTTGATTTATGCATAATTGTGGGAATCAGACTGAGACCTGTCTGTTACCAAAGTCTTTGAGGCTGTAGTGACTGGTTGCCATAGTGACAGAGAAACCCTGAGCTCCTATTGGTATTTCTGGAAATGGGAATGGTACTCTTGAGTGAGAGGTGTATGGCCACAAGGTCACGGGGATATCAGGCCCAGTAAGCTCTGGCACTGAGAGATTGTGAGATCAGTTTCTGTTTGGTATAAATCACCAAAAAAGGACAATGCACCTGTAACCAGTTTAAATATTGGTGATGACATCTAAATAATGCTAATACATATTAATATGTTCCAATAATGTCATCCAGAATGTGTACTATTTAAGAACCCTCTGCTTCTAGATTTCATGTTTCATTAACTTTTCCCCTTTTTTTGCTCTACAGGAGATGTTAGACATAGTCAAAGCAATATATGACATGATGGGCAAGTATGCTGACCCACCCATAAGTGAAAATGCACCAGGGGATCATGTGGAAAGAGTATTCCAGGTAGACAGACATACCGACAATACTCTTTTCTCAGTGTCTCACAACAAAGAGGGGTCTGGAACGAGAGGGTTCAATGCTGTCTACTCAACAGAAACCTGAGGGCTATTCCATTATACACCCTTTCCACTGGAGGCTCTGACCAATGAGTGACTGAAGATTTGGCAGATCAATAAATGAATTCCATAAATAAAGAACCAAATCTAATCTTTGTATATCTTGTTTTCTGATAAATCATGATACTAGATAATATTCCAATTATGAAATTAAGGGTACACAAATCCAATTTTGGTTGCTGTACAGTCGCTTGGCAATTGCTGTCTGGTGGAAAGAGGGCCTACATTGTAACAAACCTTTTTTTTCATTCCTTTGTTTTCTTGGTTGATTAATACTTTTCTTTTAATCTGTTACAAAATGTTTTCAGTATTCTCCTTAGTAATACTAAGATAACATTCACTTTTTTGTCCTTCCAATCATTTAACTACTGCAAGCTTGTGCCAAAAGCAGGTACCACTTTCAATTAAGAAACCAGCTATGCTCAACTTCTCTCATTTGAATGTCTTTGAAATCATTTTCACAATGATGGAATAGCCTAGACTACATTCTCATTATGTTTCACAATGTTAAAGATAACATCTGCTGAGGCTAGCATTTCCTCCAACCTTAAGCATGCAGCTTCCTACTCCATGCCTCCAAGTTAGTACCCATCCAGATTCCATCCAGATACAAATGTACTGGACTGCTTTTTCTGCCAACCCTAAAATCAATATCCATGTTCTCATGCATGCTAAAGGTTGGAGTCATACATGTGACTGTTAATGTGAATGTACCAGGTTTGCATATTCCTGAGACAGCAAGTTCTCTCTCTGCCAACCTTCTTTATCTGGTTGTAAGACTCATTTATGTGTGTGTAATGCACCTGCCAATGGCCGCCTGAAGGGAAAGTGCACGGGGTGGTCCAAAACCAATTTTACAAGAATTTTTCAAAACTATATATGTATTGATTGATTTATCCAAAAGTACCCAAAGAACATTATGATCATCATACTGTTAACTGTCATAACCTTTATTTATGTCACAGTGTCATGGTATTTGTGGCCCTTCAATATAAAAAGACAATAGTAGCTCAAATCATTTTAAGCCGATCACACTTGAATTTAGAAGCACAGTGAAAATCAGGAGTTTGCTCAATCTTCGTGTTTGCAGTCCTAACAATTGTATTGTCCCAGTGGAGGACAGAAGTTTGATCATAGTTTGTGTTGAGAAATCAATGTTTAAAATGAAACAAAAATTGAAGAATTTATAGCATTTATAGCATTAATATATAGAATGTATAGTGTAATCTATCCATGTAGAGAGAACAACAGTACTGCAGAATTTCTTTTGAATTGGTTAACCCTAGACACCCACTGTTTCATCCTATGAGGGTCTGCATACCTTTTTTCATGACGTGTGGCGAGCTGTTTTAATTCACCCTTAATCGTAGCTGACCCACTCAATGTTAAGTGTTGCCAGTAAATTATTTGTGAAACGCAGTTGTTTGCTTAAGTCTAGACGTTATTTGTTCAAAATGCACCATTAAGCATTGCCAGGTCCCCCATGCAGACCCTCTCCCACCCTTGCACAGCTGACTGCCAGGGTTGGCTGGGTCCAGTACAGGCTGGCAATCAGTCCTGGCCCATGGACACTGAAACCTGCTGGCAAAAATCTATAAGTGTGTGCAGATTCAGATTTTATTTTCAACTGACTGCAGGTACATGTATAAAATCAATATGGTGTCATTGATTGTTGATGTCCACACTCAAATTCAGGTTCATGCTTAATGAAACATATTAGAATGTCAACATAAAGGTGAAACAAAACAACTTTGAACAACACGTACTATAATATTGCAATCAGAGTTATTGTTGTAAGAAGCTGTCACGTTTTCTGAGATGCAGAAATGTACCAATAACTGACAGCACGACTTCTAGAGAAATCATAATTTTTGAATATGATTACCACTTCTTTTTGAAATAGAATTATTAGAGTAGGAGAACGGCCATATACAATATTCATTTCTTGTTACCCCGGTATTGTTTATCTATGTCAGCAGGGGAAACATTCGCCTACTACCATTTTCCAATGTATCCAGGGTGAAAAACCCCAGATATGTTATCAATATCAAATGATACCATAGGATATATGGAATAACCACAATTCAACCAACTCATAAGTTGGTACTTAACTAAACTAAAGTAACTTAATACGAATAATATGCTTGAAAGTCTCCCAAAGATTGAATGGCACAACGACCATGACATTCTAAGAACAAACAAACAAAGAAACAAAAGCTTGAAATGGAGTCATGTAGAGCTGGAGAAAGACTGGTAAGAGTATGTCATACACATTAAAAGTTGGAAAAAAATCATCTAATGTTTTGTATGATGCTTGTGATCTGCTTTACTTGTGTTGGTTTTGTTGCCATCTTGTCTGATGTCCCTTTCCCCGGCGAGTGCCATTGTTAGGTGTGCACATGTCAAATATTCATGACAATGCACTTACATTTGAAGATAGACAAACTTTGCCATGCCTAAGGTAGGTGGAAGATAGTCACTGTTATCAACCCAGGTGACTGTGGCAAGATATGTTAATAGGCTGGAGAGCGTAGAACATAAATTGGACATGGCAACTTAATTCCTTTAGATGGACGAAGTAAGGGGATCCAAGATAGCACTGACTGTGACTGAGGGAGATCTCGAGATGTGTAGTGAGGACACAAGAGAAAATTAAAGCTTTCTTCCCCACTCACACCCCCAATTATGTACATCAGTCTCCCTTTGCCATTTCACAAGCTCTGGTTGGATTGGGGTTTTGCTCACTCCTCTCTCTGTCTCTCCATCCTGTTTTGGGTCCATGGGATGGGTGTGGCGTTGAGAATTTTCCACTGTTGTATTGGTATAATGGCTGTGGATCTGTGGTTATATATGATGTTTTCAGGTGCCAACATTTTATTTGCAAGTGTTCTTGATTGCATGCTCTAGATCATTTATGAATGGATTTTTGTGATTGTGAGCAGAGTTTTCCTCCCCCCCCCCCAAAAAAAAATTATTACACCTATATACATGTGCATCATATATTTCTTATTGGTTGGAGATAAGTTGTGTCCAGAAAAGGTCAGACAAAAGTAACGTAATGTCTCTGGCAATCAGAGATGGCAGACTTCACACCCTCATGATGGTAAGTGACCTCTTGCAGAGCATGCTGGAATTGCACTACCTAATGGCAGAACATACAAAACCTGCATTGCGGAAATGCAAACAGACATACATTGTACAGACACACTAAAACAAAGAAGTCAAAATCAATACAGTAACAGATTCGGTTACTTTTGTGGTGGTTCTATGTTGTGGTAGGTGCGAAATGAAATTCTTTAGGACAGTTAACATATCATACAAGGGAGACATATTTGCAGTGTGAGTATTGTGGGTTAGCAGCGGAGAGGCCACCACAAAAATAGCACCATAGTTTCAAGACTTAAAGTTTTCCACTCCTTTGGAGTTGTTAAAGAACCTTTATAAGAATGACTTTAAGAGGTGCATGATTGTGTAGCTTGAGATCCTGCCTTGCTTACATGTGGCTTGAGTGGAAAAGCTTCAAACCAGGCTAGATCTCATGTATGCCCAACATCACTCAATGCAGAAACAAACTTCTGTTGCAGAAAATGGACAAGAACAGGGATGGTGTGGTTACCATTGACGAGTTTATGGAAACGTGTAAAAATGTAAGTGAATCATCCTGACTTCATCAGAGGAATGTTAAAAGGATCAAACTGCAATGTATTACACACTTATCTATGATGATTCCTGCATTGTCAGTATAGGATGGTACATTGAAAAAAGTGTAGATAATTCCACTGAACACTGAGCATATTACATGCAGTATGTAGTCTCCTGTGCTTTCTGGAATTGTTGTTAAGGCCCTCTTTCCACTAGACCGCAATTGCTGAGTTATTTAAGTTGGATTTGTGTAACCTTTAGCAATCAATCTGTTGATCTTTGATCCATCAGTAGTGTTCAGCAGTAGCAGCCTCTAGTTTAAGGGGGTGGGAGTATGTCTGCAGAACGTACTGCACCTGCGCGAAACCCCCACTTTTCACTGTTTTCGTTGGATTTTTGGTGAACATTGCATCAAACATTTGGAAACTACAGTCGTGATGTTGACCTTATATGAGTTGTTCTGCAGAAGTGCTATGCACAACACATTACGGATTTCGCGCAGGTGCAGTATGTTCTGCCTACATGCTGTGGATGTATAATATTTACAGAATTGTCCATCAATGTTATACCATTGTTATTTTTGCTCCAGGATGAGAACATCACCAAGTCCATGTCTGTGTTTGACACCATACTGTGAACAGCACATCAGTGAAACATGTCACTATCGTGATGTAGGACGGGTGAAAGTCATGTTTTAATCCTTGTATGAATATATTATATATATATATATATATATTACATAGAGAGATGTATACATCATAAATCAAAACCATAACACCAGTCTACCGCTTCTTGAAGCAAAGGAATTCTGCTAAGTATTTGACTGTTTCATAAGAAGTGTTTGCTGACATGTTTGAATGTAAGATTATGTATGTTGAGATATTGTAGAATAGATTAATTATTTATATTCACAGACTTCACTAATCTTTAGTTAACGTTAATCAGTGTATGTGTGGTTTGCCTCTCCATTAAACCGTGAAAATGATATTTTTGAAGTTCGATAAAAGACCAGGGCATAGGGTTTAAAGAGAAAGGCCAAAGATTTTCCACAATAAAATTGTTGAGAAGGTGATATTGGTTGATTACATGCTAGAGGCAAAGTTCAAGATATGTATACTTGTAGTTAGTACCCAAGTGTATCCATGTCTTTTTGTGTGATAACCAAATGTCACAAACTTGTGTTTTATGTACATGGAAGTATAGTTCTGTACAGAAGTACTGGGTGCATGCAGTTCAAGATGACGATCAATTTTTTGTGAAATTTTTAAGGTGTACATGAGAATAAAAGTGAACACTTCGTTTTTACCATTTTCTTGGAGAACACCAGGTTCCAATATTAGCTGTATAATGCTGGTTTCATGACAAGCGACTGAGTCTTTAACAATAAAATCTGTGTAACATTTGGATGAGCAGAATAGAGTGTAGTGTTTATGACATGATTTGTGTAAAAGTACTGGCATAGTTATGACGATTGTGTCATTTCTTTAACAAGCATTATATACAATGCGCCGGTTTTTCCGGCAGAAATATTATCGACAATTACGTTTAATGTCTAGATGATGTTAGGCTTTTGTTGTACGTACAGAGTCCATGTGTATATAAACTTGTGTGTATTGGATTTGGAGAACGTTTCATTCCATGGTGTGGCTGACCCCTTCACATATCACGACTGTCCCGGTCAGGGGGTGTATAATGACGTCACGAAACAAAGTACAGGAGGGCGAAAGGATGTGCGTAAATACTGCCAAGTGCATTTCTCACGTCAAGGGAATCGATCTATTGAAAGAAGCCTCCGCGTTTGAGTCAGACTGTCCCGCCCTCGTGGTGACTTTGTTAATCGTATTGTACGTCAGACTGTCACTCAAGTTCAGAGAGTCGAGCGTACTTTCTAAGTTAAATGAAAATCAGATCTTTCTGAGTTTAATGAAAATCAAATTTACCCTATCACATTGTATATGATATTTACATTGTATATGATATAGGATATGCACTCGTTATTTTAGCACGTAGAGTGCTAGTGTCTCTGGCTGCGCGCTGTTGGACACACCTGTTTGCCTTCCTCCACCTCACCAGCTCCACCCTTCTTCATCCACCCCCTTCCTTCCTTCCTTCCTTCCTTCCTATCTGTAATTATGAACAATGGGACTATATATAGAAGGTACAGGTGGGCGTGGCTGTGAACGCTGGGGAGATAGGTAGACTAGCATGTGTTTGTTAAATCCTTTGAATAATCTTTACTCTGGTAAAGTCATAACTGTGAGCTCATACGTCACAATTTCTCCCACCAAACCCTCAGCTGGTGACCACAAATAACGTACCGACCGAACCATAACTAAACACAGTCATGGGAAGTACACAGGTACAGGCACAAAACAGCCTGGTATAAAAATAGTTGCTACCTCAGGAAGTTCGGTCGGTTGGGTCTACCCCAAGGGCTTATTGGCGAGGTGAATGACTGAACGTTTGCGTATGTCGCACCATCTTTCTTGTGGAAAGACTGTCAGCGAGGCTATGACAGAACTGGACGTCGATATAATGATCTCCGGCAACTTTTTCTGTCACCAGACAGCTAAATTTGTACGTGAAAGCCACCACTATTGAGGTGGTGAGGAATTAATGTCCTCATTTTGCTGTGTAAACCAAACGTATCATATGAATGTTCACCTTACGATGAATTAATGAATGCATCCATGAAGATTATTCCGTGTATATTATTGTACACATTTCCCCCATTAGACTAAGTGCAAATCTTATACAATGTACAAGTTTCCTTGATTTTCAAGTGCAAAATCGTTATCTTTAAGACGTGATTTACATATCTAAAATGTCTAATATACGACCCATTAGCGCACGCCGTTTTCACGGAGTCGGATTTAATTATTGGAAAGATAGGCAAAACTCGGCCTGTGGAGAATGTAATCATGCAGAAAGGCTTGAAATATACTAGTAGGCTGTCAGAAAGAAATGCCCTGTGCTCATGGGACTGATAAAACCCCCGAGCTACGCTGGTTTGTGAGGACGTTATTATGTAACCTGTTAACCGTGATCAAGCAAATCAACCGACCACGCAAGTGTAGTCAAACACTTAAACCACGGCCAGATGATTCACATGATTCAACATCAAAGGTACGACTCTGGATCGATAAAGCACGGTTGTGGATACAACAGGACCCAAGGGTCATGTACGGTAAACTAACTGGAATGGAATCTGCTGCTGTTAAAGAACAAATGTACTTATCAGGACTGTCGGTCCGACTAAATAGCAACTTCGCCACGGAGGCGTTTTGATATGCAAATATACACTGTGCACATCCATTGGAATTATATATATATTTCAAATGGATGGCTTTGAATTAGTGAAAATCTTATATAATCGCTTTAAAGTACGATTTTGACCCCCTGATGTTCTATAAACAACCTTGACAACCTCGACCGAACATTGGAAAGTTGAAATTAAAAGTGAAAGTTGCCATGTCTGCCAAAACAACACTACAGTCACACCTGTCTGTATATGTATATGTATATATATACACTTCATATATATATATATGAGAGAGATCAAATGGGACTTGACGAAAGTTTTCAGGTAGCTAGTACAGTCCAGGTTTGTTTTACTGTATATTAAAGGCCTTTTGCAGAGGTGGTCACAACTAACATGTTTGACCGAATGATTCCAACATAGCGCACTGACGTACTCAAACTTGCCGACTACCTTTCGCTTTCCAAATCTACAACACGCCACAATCCACCCAACGAAAGAGACAGAGAGAGAGAGAGAGAAAGTGACAAAAACAAAGAAAAATCATGAGTCACTAATTTCCATACTTCACACTCCCTTTACGTCATTCGTGGTTTTGACGCGCAGCAATAGGAAATCAAACCGCGAAAGGACCAACAGTCATGGGAAGTACAACTTTGAACTTCTGGATATACCGGAAAATCATACCGGAAGACTAATTGCATGTACAGTGTTCAAGTAAAAGCAAAGTAACAGGGTACATACAACTAGTGTCTGATCCTATAAGGTACTAGGATGGTTATTATAAAACTTGACTTCTTTGAAGGTCTCTCGCGTTCTGCATAATGATAATGAGTGGGTTTTGTGGTTTCGGTACTAACGTACAATGTAGTCTTTCGGTGATCTTCTAATGGTAAATACTTGGGGAATTGTGGTAACAGCGTGAAATAATCTGTTTCTTTCGGTGTCGTGTGCACTGACTAACGGAATGTACTTCATTTTCCACGGCATTCATATAGCATATTTGCGTAATTCCTTGTGGTCACGGTACCTTTTTATAGCAACCTCTTTCTACCTCTAACAATAGTTATAGTAACAGTAGCAGAGATATGCAAGTTGAAACCTTATGAAAGTCACTTACTATATAAGTTATATCAATAAAAATTTGTGGAAGACATACCGAGAAACACTTCATTTTCACATGTCAACAGCATCAAAACTGTGAATCTTTACTTAGTATCTGCACGGGTTGGATCTTACATCGGGCCTGGTAGGTTATATGTCCATATCTACGGGCGAAACATCTTTGGATGAAAGTTGTACTGGGCGAAACGTTCAGTAACGGAAACTTTGGGGAGTTGATAAAATCTAGGAGACTTGCTAACGTGAGATTTGAGGGCGTTCAAAAAATTACAGGAAGGTGACATGCGTACACAAATCCGGAAGGCCCTGAGTCATTAAACCCCCCCGAAAGTGCATGGAAAATATTTGTGGTCATGTCACTGTGTGGTATTTTTTCCCGTGTGAATACCATTGTGGTGAAATTATATCATATTACGAGATTTGCTACGGCTGGCCTCAAACAATGCTTTATTTAGGAGTCAACATCGCCCTCCGGCAAGTCGAGCATCCTTTTGATTATCAATAGATTGAAGCTATCGGCAAGAAAAGTCAAAAGTTAAACATGGCCCGAAGCGATTTTTGTGACGTACCCGGAAGTGGCGCACCCGCCGCTAAAGTAGGGGATGTCCCTCTTCCCTAACCTCAGGAAATACCTGGAAAAGTGGCGTAAGTACGTTATTTTTGGTGACAGTGTGCATTCGACTGTATATAATGACATGTGCCACACAGGTAAATTGTATAAAACCTGCGCTGGTGAGAGGCAGAGGATAGAATACAGGTGTTCAGTGCCGAGATTACACGGGGTACCGCCCAGGTCACCAGACAACACCAAAGGTATTGTACTACACATACTAGTCTGGTTGCATGCCACACACACAGGTGCTAAACATGTACGTAGACACAGCCAGTGGTTCTATTTATGTTTTGTCGTCAATATCTGAACTTCTTCGATTCAAACCTTTATAATGTTACTTTGGGGTACGTTAATAGTGTATTTCATAGTGTGAGGTGTATGTTAGTATACGCTATATATGCTGTCCGTAACGTTAACACTTCGGGATAAAAATCTGTTAGAGACTTGCCTGTGTACTGTCGGCTCAGAAAGTCTGCACAGACGGCAAACTCTACTGCCATTCTGCTATACAGGGGACAAAATCTGTTAGATATCACCTCCATTGAACTACTTTCGCTCAGAAATTACAAGGCGCCGAGGTGTTGTCAATCTCGTACTGGTTGGAAGGTAGCCTGTCAGCCAAACCTTAGAATTGTAACTGCCGAGTTTCTATCATGCGAAAACGACGAAAGAGACTCAGAAACTATGATAGGTTTGGCTAACAGGGCAAGTAGGAGGTGGGCCACACTACCGTAGTGGTAGAAATTTGATCACGAATGTGCATATATGTGAGACTGGCGAAACTGTGCAGTAGTGGTGTACAGGCTAATTCTGACTGTAGCTGAGATTATCGTTTTGATTATACTGACACGACATTCGTCATTTTTTGTCGACGTCTCAACGTTTAGTACCCTACTCAGCAAATACTATGAAGTCACGCACGCCCAGCCCTCTGGTTGACATGTTGTTGCCCTTTTCATAGCGTCTATCATTTCGTTGGACCTAGTCTCTAGGTTCTTGGTTCAAGTTCGTGTTGGTTTCTCAGATCTCACTTGGTTTGGTCCCTTGGTTACTAGTTTGAGCATGCGTGTTGTTGGAAAAGTGTTTCTAGGTACATAGGCTTTTCATTGACGTCATAATCAGTACTAGTATTATGTGAATCCAGGCGACCAGGTGTTGGCGGGTAAATTGATTACACAGCAGATGTTGCGTATTTTCAGACATACACTGTAATGTAATCCAACATGGCGTATGTGAAAAGCATGTATACTGTATAAGTTCTTAAATCCATATGTTGATTTTCTCTGTAAAGTCTTCTCTCATTCCAGCTAGCGTGATAACATTCAAAACAAACAATACCTGTGCTTCATACAATCTATACCTGTGCCTCTGTTTCCCGCTGGTATGTTGTACGTCTAAAATGTGTTGTCTACCTCTTGTAGCCTGTGTTAAAACGTTCTTGACCAAGTTGCAAATGGTGTTGTCCAACTCCCAGTCAGTGTGGGGAACTCCTGGAGGTACCGCGCCGTAACTTCCGGGTGTTGGGACTTCATTGGGGCGTATGTCGAAGTGGGTGGGGTCGGTGTGTTCTGGGGGAGGTGTTGTGGTGTGTTGGGGGCGATTGTCGAAGTCGAGTGGCGGATATTGCGTAAATGGTCGTTACCAATGGAAATGGTCGGTCACTGACCGGTCGATGCCATATCTGAGCATATCAGAACTTTTTTGATGGAAAAAATTGATCTTATAACGTGTCGTATAACGTATAAGCGCCTTTTCATCCCATATCACCTAGTATTGTACTACGTAGACTGATTTGTTAGATTTGTTCTCTCATTTCTGCCATACTTTGTACCTTGTACATTGTTGCGTAATAAAAAGTCCTGTAACCGTGTCGAGACAGATGGTAAGGATGGTAAAAATGGTAGCATCAAAGGCTGGGCGTGACGTCTAGTTTGTTCTAGTTTAAATTTAAGTCCAGTCTTGGTTGTTGTCCCGGGTAACCCCGACAAGTATAAACATAAGCATAAAGTCAATATTATGTTGCTGTTTATACTTGTCCTTGGCAACGAAAAGTAAACATTTCTAGGAATTCATTTGATATTCATGAATCAGCCAATGCGCCAACCAGAGTCCGGTTGTAAGGTAATGCGATATCAGGCCTTCTGTGATACAATAGTCCACGGTCAGCAAACAAAACACACACTGTATCCACGGTACCTTTGTTCGCGTCGTGACCCGCCAGCCTGGTAAATATAGCCAGAAACAGTCATGGCATACGTCATCTTTCGGGGAAGCCCTTCCGGTATATGACCTATAAAAAGGACAACGTTCCAGCGCTTACCGTAGCAACGGTACAGTCGCCGGAAAGTTCGCCTGGTTTGGAGGTTTCTTCTTTGCTTTCAACTGGTCCTTCTCGCAATCGGTTGGTCACGTTGTATTTAGTGTTTGTTGATTATTGTAATATATTAACTTCCATCAACGTCAGTTCACCGGGATACCTATAACCATCACTTTGACACACTGTGTGTTTGAGAGATATCTGGATATGCCAGTTTAGATACAACGCCAAGTGCATCAAACTGGGTGACGCCGCATTGAGATCTCTTTAGACGAATTATTTTCGGGGTGGCGGATGTGCAGTCTGGTTAAATCATGTGAGATTGTAATGTGCGTACTGCAGAGAAACTTCATGACTTTCTGGGCTACGACCTTAAAAATCATTTCATGATCCAATTTTTGTTTTGAACAGGGATCCGAACTATCGCCAACAACATGCTGCTACTAGAAAAAGCCTCCATGGTCGCAGTTTTGGTGCTGTGTGTCCTGAGTCTTCGCGCGGACGGTGCGAAGAAAAGAGGATGCGGGGAGAGGAAAATTAAAAAGAGCTACCTTAATCTCGCCAAAATGCGGGACAGATTCGAGAGCGTTTTGGGGACAGTGACGAGTGCGTCCGAAAAGGTGAGATTCTTCTGTACCTTTTATCAAGGACATTATTTGCTATTTGATAATATCAATTGCTACTTTCATTCATAGATTATAACCATCTGCTATACACTTTGTGCGGCAATACTATTGCTTCATCAATATTTGTGCAGAGAAACGTTGGCGGTGGTTTGTTGCGCCTGTGTCATTTTGATACTACATGTACTAGTACCTATACATATTGTAGTGCTGCGGTCCCAAACGTGGTCTGACGTATGTCTCTTTTTAACTTGCGTTAAACCAGGCTGACGAACACGTGTCCATGGCGGACCGGAAGGATAGTTTGCTGTTGAAAGTGGGAGATCTACTCTTTGAAGACGGACGGGGCTTCTCAGGGCTGAGACTTACCGGACTGAAGTTGACAGACTTGGGATTGGACGTAAGTGAAAAATGGAAAAATGTTGTATCTATTGCTTTTTATTCAAGTATGAGAACACTTATAGACTTATAACGTTATAAATATACATAAAGAATGAGAGATTGGGCTTAAATGGATATTTATTTATTAATTCGTTTGTTTATTTGATCTTAAGGCAGAAAATAAACAAATTTAATCAAATGCGATAATTAGACAGATAAATAAACTCGATTCTTCAATGTTTCTCCTTCAGGACATACAGAAGTTTGAGATCTATATGGCAGAGCTGGAGCTTCTCCTTGATGAGCTGGAGAAGGTGGAGGAAACGGTGAAGGAGGATTTCCCAACTCTCAATGCGGATCTGAACGCAGTCTACAAACGCGCATTTGAATCGGTGAGTACAACAGATATAAGTTTTCAGCAGTATTGTTATTTTCTTTTCTTTTATTCTATTCTATTCTATTTTATTTTCGAACCAAACTAGCCATATAACAAACAACCAAAAAAACATGTAGTAATGATAAATCTTGCTTTATCATCGCCAACAAGAGATATGATGATGTGACTTTAAAAAAATGTATAACGTTGAAACCGATGCTGATATATTTTCTCCCTAACTACTACTAAGATTGGGTGTGATGGACGAAACTCTGACACAATAATATCTTGTTACAAAACATTGATGCAAAATGACGTGATTTCATCTATTTACTAGTATTCATTTATCGTTTTGCAGATGAGAAAAGTTAAGGCATGTGCACCGACCGGGAATGCGAACGTGGAGGAACTGATCAAGCAGTACAAAACTCAGATCCAGTCTGTATCACCGACGGTAAGTTTAGTCGCCAAACTCTTCGTACAGTTACTGGTATCGCTGTGAAAGACAGAGCCAACTAGCTGGTGGCTATTTATAAATTAAAAAATTTCCTTCAATCTAACGTTATTTTAAACCTGAAACATAAGTGAGCTAATGAATGAAATTCGACCCTCACATTTGGAATTTCTATGTTACATTTTTAGCGTTTTTCGGCAAACTCACATAATATTATGATAATCATATTTGTAATCGTTAGTTTATAGCTGATAGTTTATAAAGGAGAGAGAGTACTAGTACGCACATAGATCAGGGGTATAGGCCATTTTGGTACTTGATAACTCTGACCAATCACTGAATCAGGTTTTATCGATGACACTATTCTCGTCTAATTAATCATTTGTTCTCTATATGCAGGTTCCAACGAGGACTCGGCGACATACACACAAGGACTCTGCTAGCTCCTCTATCTTACTGCGGAAGATCAGGAGCCTTGTTGGACGCAAACCGCGGCAGACGCCGGATGAGAGAATCCTCCAACACAGTCAGTGGGTTCTGAAAGATCTAGAGAGCCTTCTACAGCACGACGTCATCGCAACGCTGGACAGCATCAAGAGCAAATACAGCAAGAGGAGAAACAAGCAAGCAAGAAAAAATCTGTCAAGTTAAACCAGCTGCCTCACGATGTGCGGCAGTTCTTAAACGTGTAGTAGGGAGAGGTTGAATATTGTGACGTGTTGGAAGCGTTTACTCTCCTATATTAGTTAGGGTAAACTTCTGACGACGTTCTCTACCTTATCCCTCGCGTGTACACGCCAAATGTTAGTTGATCTTCATTGAAGGTTTATGTACAGGTTATACCTGTAAAAATGTAAAAGTTGTGGGCATTTTTAGTGTGTCTCATCCAAGTTCCAAAAGTTGAGATTTTATAATAGATGTATCGAAGCGACGTGTAGATCACTTTGATTAAAGTAATAGCTAGTTAAAACAACTTTAAATGTATTTATTTTTTTACTGATATGTCGCACATTGCCAAATAGTACGTGCAATTCTAGTTAAGTATTGTTTGATAGATTGAATATTTATTATAACTTATTGTACATAGGCATAGGCTATATTTGAAAATAGATGCAAAATGTATTTGACTTTAATATATTAGGTATATTTCATAAGTAGCTATTTATTGGTATTTATTGCGATTGGCAGCCTGTTGGTCTTGGCCATTGGATACTGTCTCTATCTGCTACAGAAGGATCTGCTTGGAGATTATACAGCTTGCCATACAATGTAATTGCTGCAGGCAGTGTATTTTTTCCCCTGGCCACTGAACAAATGTTATGTTGAGTTTACCAAAATGAAGTGTAGTGCACATTGCACCTCTTATAGCAATTTGTTGTAAGGTAAAGTTTTAAAAGTGATTGAAAGTGATTTAAGTTTATGGTACTGATGTTTATACATTTTGCCTTGCCATTATTCAAGGGTATTGAATAGAATTGTATACTACTGTGGTAATATTGTTATGATGCCAGTAGGGTACAAATGAGGCAAAATCTTCTTACTCTAGATATTACAATTATTATTGATGTTGTTGTTGTCACTAATTAAATTATTTCATTGTACAGAAAGATCTATGAAGTGAAAACCTTGTTTGAAGAATCAGATCAATCACCAATAAAATGGTTTATTTCAAAATGTGTATATGAGATGTCTGAGTATGTAGAAATAATGCATTTTGAAGTCCAAATATTTACATCATCATACAAATATATTTGCATGCAAAAACATCATTAAGTATAAAAATGAAGCTCTTTTGTGGAAAAACGGTGGAATCGTTTCTAACCAGGGGAACCTGACAATGGACATTAGACTACGCAGCACTGCACACTATGATCAAACCTTTAAGTTATAAGATACATTAACATATCATACAAAATTTGGATCAGTCAAAGACTGACAAAATTGCTACTGTAGGTGAATTGATTCCTTGCTACATGTCCACTGCACAACACTTGGTTACACAATTGTATTTTTACATAATGTTACAAGACTGTGAAAAAGAAATGACTGAGTCTTTGAAAATTGACACTTAGCTTTCCAATGATATTTTTGTATGGCACAATGTTAAGTAAAAAAAGAAATTAGATATCATTTTTTTATTGTATATCAACAACCAAACTCAAGTTTCTTAGTTTTTTGTGCATGCAGAGTGTCAGTGTTACGCTGCATTTAATTTTTGACATGGGGAACAACATTTAATAATATGCAATCAAGGGATTGTAGAGGGAGTTACTTTAGTAGAAGGGATTCTAGAGGTAGTGGTTATCTCCAGTTCAAGCACATGGCCACAAGCTTTTTTTGGGAGGAGGCCCATTCAGCCCCTGACAGTGAGAGATTGTGTTTTTTTAGGGTCCCGAGCCCAGAGTCCCCCTCACAGGATAACACAGCCCCAGCAGCACTGGTGGGGGTAGTCGGGAGCGTGAACGCGATGTTCGTTCCCGTACACCCAGTAGCGCGTGTTAACCTCCTGCCAGCTGTAGTCAATCTCAAACACAGGCACATTCCTCAGTGTGTGGCGCTGGAAAAACAAGCAGTTTTCATCAAATGATGGCTGGTGAAACCAATAATACTGTACTGTATCTGTATGCTGTAGCTGGCATTAGCATCCTGGCATAAGCATCTGGCACTGCAGCAGCTGGTTATATTACACTGAGCGGCCTGTCACACCTAGTCTTTAAATTACATCATCTAATGATGAAACAAGAATTGTTTTAAGATATCAACTAGACTAAGTGAGGCTGCGATTAATGAACTTTTGACAGCGACCTCTACTCTAGGATATTTCTAGGAATAAACATTTGTTTAACTCCTCAATCCTAGGTTGATGATTTGAATGAACATTAAGGACTACAGTAAGACTGGTAAGTTACCTGCTGTAAGATCCTTCCAGCCCTCTCGTAGGTAGAGTTGTGGTACTGCACCAGGCTCTGGGAGTTGGCGTTCACATCCTGATCGGTGAAGTGAGTGATAGGCCACACCTACAGGCAGTTAAACAATAGACTCAATATCATCGCATAGCCTAGCTTTGTGGACCAATCACCAGCCTCCTGTTGGTTATCCAGCCATGACGTCAAAACCATGGGTTAATGAGGAAGAAAGCCCCAGCATTATTGATGGATTATTATGCACACTTGTGGGAATGATAGAATATCAAATTTTGAACAATGTCAGTTTAAATTCATTGGTTAATATGACCCAGGTTTGCTCACTTGTTGGTTTATTTGGCAGTTATTAACTTATAGGTCACTGGTGAGGGCTGCAGTATGTCACTGTTGAGACTTAAGGTTTGGCCTGTTTTGGACATGCTTTTATTATGGGACATGATTGTCCAGAACAAGTAATGTCAAACCTCTGCGTGAATTTTCTGACAGTTGAGACTTACCCTGATCAGTGTCTGTTGGAAGATGACCATCCCTCCTGCATCCTTGATGAGCTCATCAGGCATGTCTGTCCTTTCTGTCACATGATCAGACACCATGTTCTTACTGTGGAGACAGAAATCAAGTAATTGCTCTAATGAAAATTAACTTTTTATGAGTTTGCTCAAGGCAAGGCCACTGAGCACTGAACTAAGTTGGTGGGAGATAAAGGTGGCTTATAATGCTAGGAAATGGTGGTGAACATTTGTCCTGAAGGCTTGTGGGCTGTTTTTGAGGGGTACGGATGGTGAGAACAATGTGTGTGTGCACATGTGCATGAGTGTTTTCCAAAATATTTCTAGCTCTACCTATTGATTGCAAAAAATCTATGAGAAGAATATCAATTTGTTGCATTGCATAACATTTCTGTATTTCTACATTTAGGGAGAAAAAGTGCAAAGTATTATTACATCATATTTTCACACTGTCAGATGTTTTGAAGGAAAAGACTGTGCTTACAAGTTGACAGTCAGTTGGATGTACCACTTGAGATCCCGGCAGCCCCGGCAGACTCCACAGGTCACCCTCCCATCCCCACCACACCTGACACACCTGGGACAGTCAGATTCAAATTATTTATTTATTCTTATCTTATTGGCAATCAATTGACATTCGGGCTGTTAACATTACAGTTCTAACAATATAAGACAAACAAAACATACTAGTAGTAACCACTAGTATAACGATCAAATGGTGGAAAATTTCATGCACAAGATGTGGTGAACATCACAAATAACCATATGCAAATCAACATGGCATATGATAAAACCATACAGGTACTTAGTACTCAAAAACTACTGACTTATTTTCATGGCGATAAAGAATCCTGAGCTCCCTCTTGCAGTCCAGGGAATGGAAATGGTCCTCTCAAGTTAGTGGTGAATGGCCGCAAGAGAGAAAGAGGCTGAATTAGCCCCTGCCAGCAAGAGTATAACACAGGGTAGACTGCATGGAGGACACCTTACCTTCTCCTTCCTGACCCATGGCACCAGTGGCAGGTCTCCCTGTGATGCCGTTTAGTCTGATGGTCGTACCTCATCTTGTGACCACTCCCATGGCAAGAAGAACAGCGAACCTGAAGAAGATACGTGTAACCATGATACATTATCACGTAACCTCCTTTACCAGTAAGGTGTGGGTTCAGATCCCACTTCTGACACCATCTCGTGCTCAGTAATCTCTTTGGGTGTAGTCTTGATTAATTGATAACTGATGCTATAGATTGTCTATTTTCAGGACAGGCAAAGCTGACCATGGCCTTACAACCTTGTCTAGAGCATGGTTGTGAGTTACATATATTCGTGAGCAAGGTCATCTGTGGTTGGGATGTGGTTGGCAAGGTTGCCTACTAGTCTTGAAGTGCATTATGGACCAGCTGACTATATATTTTGAAAAATCAAAATCATTAAGTCATACTCTGCCTTGATGCCTGTAAGTTCTATGTCATGAATGAGTAATCACACAAGTGAAGGAATACGCACCCTTCCCCTGCCACAGCAGCGAGGGCAGCGTTTGAAGCCACGGCCGTAACAAGAGTGGCAACTCTGGGTAGTTCAACAAAAACAAAATGCTTTACACACGTTGTATAGAGTGTAACTATACGTGTCCAAAACTTAACTTTTAAGCTACTCCAAAACCATCAAAATTAAACATTCAATTGATATCAAATCATGGCCTCTACATCATAGGTACTGAATTGCTATCCATTAAAACTGCTATTAAACCAGACCTATACAGCTAAGGTACTGAAACACTATCCATTAAAACTGCTATTAAACCAGACCTATACAGCTAAGGTACTGAAACACTATCCATTAAAACTGCTATTAAACCAGACCTATACAGCTAAGGTACTGAAACACTATCCATTAAAACTGCTATTAAACCAGACCTATACAGCTAAGGCACTGAAACACTATCCATTAAAACTGCATTTAAACCTGTCCTATACAGCTAAGGTACTGAAACGCTATCCATTAAAACTGGCATCAAACCAGACCTACACTGTATACAGCTATAGTACTGAAATGCAATCCGTTAAAACTACCACGAGGGAGGTACATGTACATGTACAACACTGTCTTTTATTTTCCATCTTTTCATTTTCAATTTCATTTTCAATTTCTATGTACATGTATTCGGAACACTGCATGTCACTTTTCTTTAGATCAAAAAGAAAGCAAAGCAGCAAAACTGAGAACCAAGAAATTGATCTGTTGTGTGTTCTGTTGAAAGACTTCCTCCATACCTGTACTTTAGCTGTGTGTGGCACCTCGATGAGCCTGACCTCATCATGAAAAAACTCACTAGCAGCACACACAATATCCCAGGGGCCTGGTGGGTAGCCATTATGGGGGCCATCAATGTTTTGGCCTGAAAAACAGAAAATATGACCAAATATGAGTAAGACCTTAAAGTTTGTTATACTTTGGTACTTTTATGTTATTACAAGATATACAGGTACAGTTCAAGGTGATAAAGCAGTTCTTGGTACATTGTACCTAAAGTTGCTACATAAGAGAGTGGTATCTTACTACAGCTACAATGGCTAATATATATACTGTACAGGTTCAACTTCTCACTTCAAACGTAACTCATGACACACTTCAGATGCATCTCAGACACATGGTTTATCTACTAGATCTAGAAGATGTTGTAAGCAAAATTCAGTGTTGTACATTTTGGAACTGGATCTAGGTAATATTGTTCCAGGTTAGCCTAATTTTCTATTTTTTCTGAATTCAAAATTAAAAGAACAAACCTCGGTATGGTTCATGCACCCACTTGGTAGATCTGCTCTCGAGATAACTTTCCATAGTGTACTAAATAAAACAACAAACAGGTTAACAGTCAGCAACAAAACACTTCTTTTTTTGCTCTGTTTCCTTTATTGAGACTTAGTACATTAATTTTGCAGAAGGACTGAAACAACAAGAGACTATCACCTTTTCAAGATGTCATACCAGAGATCAAGGATCGAACCACTCACACCATGATGGACCCCTTCTCTAACGTGCGGTGGAAATGCCATCAAGACACTTATTAACTTAATGCTAAATTAGCTGAATGTATAATGAAAATCAGGGGGAAAGTTGTGTAATGAGCATGAGAAGAACCTACGTGGAAGGCAGTAGAGGGTTTGATTGCCCTGATGATATGTTCCTCTGCAGGTTTCTTGCCGTAGCAGCAGTGTTCTGCCACAAACTGAATCATGGCATCTCTTGCCTCCTGCTCCGTCAGCCCAGCACCCCTGGAAACCAGTTAAATGTCCAAGTTTTGGCTTTTGTAGTGTTCTGTTGTACAGTAGCTTTATGTTGTATTTTACAATGAACAGAAAGTAAAAATTAAGAAAGTGAAAATTAAGATATGAATATAATTTATGTACTTACTGGGCATATTGCTCAGGAGGTTTGGTATAGTTTTCAGGAGGTACATACTGGGGAGGCGGTGGGACCCCTAGATAACATCAGACAAAAAAGGAATTGTGATCTCAAACCAGTTAAAGTTAAAAAAAAAGTCAATGAACAGTTGAGCTACTCTTCCACTGGTTATGACTGTATTTACAGTTCTATGTATAGCATTATGTACAGTATTTGCAGGTTAATTCCCATAGCCTCAAGTACAATGAACAGTGGCCAACATCCAGTCCTAGGGATTGTTGCACTTTTCCAGTAGCATACATATCAGGTAAGCAACAACAGCCGGGGATTTAAACTTCTTCAACCTCTTAATGCTCACAGAAGGAGGAATATCTTACAGTCATTCAGCCCCACTTGTTCGTATCCCTGCAGGCCGCCAAACTTGCTGATGTCCGGGTCAGGTCCATGGTCATCAGAAGCATTCTCGTTGTCTTCTGGGTCTGAGTCAGGGACGTCATCACCGGTGTAACCTGGCTGGGCACTCTCGCCTGAGTTGGGCTGCCACGCTGGAAACAAGTTGTACATAATCCTGACTTAATAAGTCAACATTTGTCAAATGATAATGAAAAAATAATTGTCAAATGATGACGAAAAAAATGATCTGATTTTATTCCACAAACATGGGAGCAACAACCGCAAAGAATTTTACGTGTTGACCATACAAACTTCATTTGCTTTGTGCCAGGCAGCAATGCCAATGCAAGGGATAAGCAGTTTACAGACATGTCCTTAACACCCATAACCTCTGAGCACCCAAGCTTTACTGTATTTTAATCCAAGACATTAGCAGGCTGGCTGCGGCCAAGCCTGGGCCCCCCTGTACCCAGTTGTTCACCATGTCACTCCCCCGGCAGATGGCAGATACAGATGGCAAAGCTCTGTAGCCTCTGAGTTACACACCAGGCAGATGAGTGAGTGGGTGAGTGAGGGATATTGTGTTCTGTGACTTCAACTCCTTCTTAAGGGGAAGATCCCCTCAGTTTTTTGTATTGGAATCAATGTTAGCAGCCTGACACATGCTTGCATATCAAAGGCAATTATGCCACTTGCGTGTCATTGCTGCCCATACTTGCAGGTTTTAACTCAGTTACTCACAAATTCATGACAGGTAAACTTACGTTGATGCTGGACTGCCCCTGGCTGATTAGGGGCAAAGTTGGCTTGCTGCTGTGGTGGGGGATAGCCACCCCCTTGCTGTGGAGGGGGGTAACCACCGCCTTGTGGTGGGGGGTAACCACCCCCTTGTTGTGGAGGGGGGTAACCACCCCCTTGTGGAGGGGGGTAGCCACCTTGCTGGTTGGGAGGATACCCTGTAACAGAGAAAACATGGTAATCTGTTAGGAAGTGATAATCATGTCATGTATTTCTTGTATCTCAGACACAAACTTGTGATGTACACAATGTCCATATATTCTGATTAACTTTATATTAGGCTGGTTATATATATTTATCAACTTGCCAAACAGCTGGTGTGTTACGCCAAAAGGCTGGCTATACATTATACTTCGTTACAATTGTTTGATTGATTGATTGATTAATTATATGTCATTATATGATTACATACCCATATGGAATCAAATACGACTGTGATCGTGTTTTAACAGAAGCAAATACTAGCAAATATAAGCAAATATAATATCACAGTACTGTAATTACAGTATTTATAGCATCATTACAGTATTTATTTTCAAGGTGTCATGTTATTGGCCACTGAAAAAATAACACAGTGTACATAAATGTACCTCAAACTCATGTCAATTCACTATGAGAAAGAAGCAGACAGGACTTAAACTTCACCCTTGAACTTGACCATTATAAATTGTTTGAGGTGATATATATATAATGTTTTCCTTGAATTTACCATGGGCACAGTGTAATTTGAGACTATGTCAACAACAAGCGACTTGACCTGAGGCCTGAAAAAGCATCCACTCCTTGTGTGGAATGGGGTCAAACCACTACAGTGTCCTGAACAATCTGCAGTATATTGATCTGTAAGGCCAGCTGCCAGTGCAGTGAGATTTGACAGATGTATATTAAGGGGTAGGGTCCATTTCTCCTTGTATTATGGTTCTTAAAACATTTACCAAGAGTTTTCTGGAACTAAAGCTATATCTTGACCTGACAGTCAGACATAAAATTTGAGAAGAGAATTTGATAGCCTTCAATGCAACCTGCAAGCAGAACTTGTCAATGAGCTTTTGTATGATCCAGATCCCCCCAGAAGAAAAATGGAATGCTCTGATAAAAACATTCCCCACAACATTATAACTTACCCGTAGTTACTGCTCTCTTACCTTTACAAGAGAGCATTTAGCAAATTGTGGCACTAGAACAAAAACTAAGCCTTTACTCAAAGTCAAACAACAAGATTTTAAAGATCATGGTAGACCTTTTGCCCCTTTCATTTCAGCTGCTCAAAAATTGATAATCTGATCATGCAAAAATTGTCTAATGAATGTGGAAATAATGAATAAAATATCAGCAGGTGTCTCCAATTCTGACCTGCATGCAACATGTGCAACAGGGAGAACAGGTGCAACAGCAGAAACAGGTGCAACAGGGGTAACGGGTTTGTGCTGGCATATTCAGTACTGTGTGGATCCTCCTGTACAGTTGGCTGGGGATCCAGTTCAACAGGTTAATCCACGGTTACAAGTATAGATAGGCATTGAATTCTTGGTATGGTGGGGATCCTCCTTGACTATTAAACTGCAGTTTGGTGGTGAGTTTGTCCTTTGAAGGGGGTAAATTGCTTCATGACCAAAAGAATATTTAAATTTAAGCTTCAGCCTGCTAAGGTATACTTTTGGCACCAAGTTTGTATTGTCTATAGGCTATGCAACAGAAGGTTTAAATACTCCTAACAATGATGAGTGATAAGCCTGGTGTGCTCTGGCCAAATTTTGAGTGGGACAGTTAAAATCTAGGTCAAACAAGGCTTTGTAGAATTACATCACCATAATTCTATTTTTACACAGGAACTTTGGCTTTTTTAAGCATGTCTGTTTCCTTTTTTCCTTGTTATTGTAAGGTGTTATCCGTGTTTTGATGCTGGTTGGTTCATTTTGTACTCCATACCTGTTGCTTATGCAAGCATGAAGTTGTTCATTAACCACATCCGTCCCATACACAACACAACCCGATGGTCAGGTCTTTCCATGCCTCCCTAAACGTAGGGCGGTATTACCGGCTATATGGTGCCCTCGAGGTGGGGTGTGACGTTTTAGAAAATTCTTCTGACTCAACTCAGCAAGGCTGTTTTATTTCCTCATTTTGTAGCACCCCATCCCACCCCGCCCAACATAACTGCACAATTTCACCTAACACTCTTGAGAAACGTAATTGTCTTGTCGCCGTAACACTAAAAACCGCTCTTAAATAAGTTCTTACCTGCTTGTGGAGGTGGATAGCTCATGGCTGTACCGCTGGTGTACCCTGCACAGGTCTTACCGTGTCTAAGTATACGCAACTGTCATGTTGTTGTGGCCGCGTGGACCTAGCAACCTTTGTGGGCCTTTTGTACCAGGCCGTCAGGGACTCGGCCACTCCCTCGACATGCGATCGCTGCTTAGGCTTGCGTTACATTCTCCAAGCAGATGTACGGTAGGCCGCTGCTGTTTAGTGCGCCCTGCTGCTGATTTATATTAGCCTGTGCTAATATGCATAGGGGGTTATTAACAAGGTAAATGGAAAATAAAGGACAAAACAATAAAGGAAACTTACGTAACTGGTCTTTGACGTGTCTGTGAAAAAGGTGAATTTAGTGTGTCAGTCGCATTTACGTACTGATTTATTTACGATATACAAGGACGCGTGGCCGTGGAAGGCTTTTATCGCGGTGTTTTCTTCGGTGTGGCGCAACTTCATGATTGTCTTTCCCAACAAGATTGCATCGTAGATTCCGTTTGTGGGTCACAGGTTCTTGTGTTTGTCAACAGCAGAACTCGAGAAGTTATGGATGGATCTAAATCATGGTCCTTCATGATCATATTAGGCAAACAGGTGTCCGCAAAAAAAAAGAAAAGGATTGTGGCAACAAGAACACTTGAGCATAGAATCTTTATTTGCATGTTCATGCCCATGGGGCTAAATGCATACATCAGAAAGTGATGTTACATGTACATCATTCTGAGTAACATGATACATAAGATTCAAGGATAACAGAATAACAGAATGACGTAGGAGTCTAAACAACTACTAGAGAATAAACTAAACTAAGCCTTAAGGATTTCTTCTCTCTTTTTAAAGCAATTGGAGATAAATTCACAAAGTTTTTCTATTGTATGGTCATTACTGGTGGACATGAGATGACTGAATACATCTTTCTTTGTGCTACTTTTATATAGTTTGTCTAAGTGGATTGTTCTAAATAGTGTGTCACGTTCAATATCAAACAATTTACAATCAAGTACAAAATGTATTTCATCTTCTACACCACCAGAGTTACAAACCTTACAGAGCTACCTTCTACAGGAGTCCGGTTATGTCTGCCGGTTTCTATGTGTAAATTATGGTCACTAATTTGTAGTTTTGACATGGTTCGGCGATGCTCGGGATTTGGGATACTTAGGTATTTTTCTTTATCATATGTAACTTTTAACATTTTGTAAATAAATACAATGACGTTCTTGTTCCTGTATATGTTGTATGGCTGGGAATTCTATACGGGACCTCGGAAAATGCAACACTATATAACGTTAGCCTCTTCCTTTGCGGGAGTTCAATTAGTTTTTCCACATGCATGGTGTTACTGTGTGTAGTTATACACCGTTTGAAACGAACAACACGACAGCACTCTGTTAGTATATTGTAGTGTCAGACCCATGCATGTTTTGTGCTCCCTCTATTGTTGAAAACGTCAGTAGTGGTTTGTTTTCACGCAATGAGCCCATGGCCAAGTAACGTCAAATGATATGAAGCCCCATAGTACAATGAGTTTTCATTACCAATTTATTATTTATAGAGCAGCACAAATTCTGGCGGGCATACGACTGATCTTAATCTAAAACTCCAATTTTGCGCTAGGAAGATCTGACTGCAGATTATGCCCAATGGCAATATGCGCGTGAGAAGGTATTGTGCAATACAGACTAGTTCCGCATGAAGGCTACCAGTATTTGGAGAGTAGAGAATACAAATTGTAACGGGTAACTGCAACTTGTGGCAAAGTTACATACATAGTTTGTGATGCTAACGATATCTAACAGTTCTAAGAGGTGGCAGTTATAACTCTAGATCTTCTAAGAAGCTGATCTACTTTCATATATAACAATAAAGACACCAATCATACTACTCTAACTCTATTAATAATAATATGTATTGCATGACTTTTATCTTGATACCGAGTGGTATGATAACGAGTGCGGTATTTATTTGCTCTCTTTTGACAGCCTGACCAAGGTCTGACGCTGCAGCAAGTTTGTTCGTTCATGAATATGAGTGTCATCAAGGATTGAAACCTCCTTGGTATCATCTTGCCTGTCCTGAAAACCCATGAATCATTTCTTCTTTTTTTTTATGTGGCCCAAGTTCCTGAAAGATCTTTACATCAAATCGGTAAGTACAGCTACCCGGTGTCACTACGGTTGGTAGAACGTGCAGTCGCGGCGAGCGAGCGACCGTGCGCTCTAAAACAGACAAGTGTCCATGACTTTTCCAGGCTAAATGAATAACACAATATTGTTTGATATAACGGTTAACTGTTACTGTTACAGTATTGAAGGACATAAACTTCAAAACTGCGTTTCTGTCACTGTCTTAACTGTCTTTATTTATTTATTTTTATTTTTTATTAAGAAATTGTAACGTTAACATGGCAATACAAAGTGTGCACTAGGCAACAATTACTAGTAATAGCGTGCAGACCTAACACATACACCACATATAACATAGAAGCAACAATAAATAGTTAAAGCGAGATGTCTACACAAGTAAAATTATCTAATAATAAATCACACATGCAATTATAATAATCAATTTTATAACAGCAAATTAAACGTTTGGTGTGGCTCAGCTGTATCCGGAAGGAGCACAGAATCTTTTTGATTTGGCAGTGAACGTGTGGAGTGCATCTGTAACTGCCTAACTTGTCTAAGTCCCTGGGCGGTCGCATTAGACAAGTTTGAATACACTTTTTTCCTCATACTAGTACGTCATGATTGCGTACATGATATGAGTCATTGTCAAAAAGCCCGCGCTTCCCAAATTGACCAATCACAATCCAGTTTTTGTAAGTTACAAAGGCGGCGATCTTACAACATGTCGCCGGGAGACAGCGTATCTTATGACAAGAAATCAGCTAATAAATTCCTTATGTAACAAACATTTACCCAAAATCCACAAAATAAAACAGTGAAAAACCTAAAATTCTCAATAACTTTTTGATGACGAGAAGCCATGTCCGCTTAGGCGCATGCGCTCTCCTGTCAGTGAAGGCAACATGGCGGACGAACAGGTTGGTTGCTTGTTTACTGTTTTTCCCGGTACATTTTATTCGCAAATGCCGCTATCGTGTTGAGTCATACCCCGTTGATTCAGCACGTTTTAACCTCAGGCACATCTTGGACCAAAAATGCAAGGTTGTCGTTGGGAAATGTTGACAGGAGCGACAGAAATTGTTCCTGTTCATACCTGCATGCATGACGCTTGGTGTGGTGCCAGCACCAAAATTACCATCTATCAAAAACGTGAGCCTTGAAAACGTCGCTAACTCTACTCTTCCCTAGAATGTGTAGCTAAACAGTTTTTGATTGTATGATATCGAGACACCATACAGATAAATGATGTAACTATTGGTATGAAATTATTCAGGTAAATTATACTTGCTTGCCAAAATAATATTTTTATTTCAATTTGATGGTTGTTATTTTGTGCTCTTGCTACAAAGCACAAGTATAAAATATGGAACTGAAACAGCCAGAGTCGGATGTTCTCGTATCATAGTAATTTTGCGTGTGTGCATGCATATTTTTGTGGTTCTGTGATCGAACAGAAGTCAGAAGTAATATGAGAGAACTGTTATTATATGTGATAATATGTGGTCTTGACTATACAAAGAAATGATTAGATTGTTGTTGTTGTCCTTGTTTATCGTCTATTTTTCCGCGAGACGTGGTCCCATGGTTAGATTCTGGCCCCCAGGTGCCTTTCTTTCAATCTGCAACTGAAGATTGTTTTTGTAAGTTGGAAATCAAGATATTTTTGTAGGACTTCATTATGCAGGAGGCAGGAAATGAGGTATCTGTGGTAAGAAACTTCTTGCTGGAGATGATTCTGTAGACTTTGATGAAGATGATTCTGTAGCACAGTAGCAAAATTACGATGGAAATGCAAATTCATGGCATCATGAGAGTAAATCTGAATACTAGTAATGGAAACACTGCAAACTTTAGCCTCCTTTTGTCTTGAGGCGTTCTGGGATTGGTAATTTTTTTTTGGTGTTGGGGGGGGGATTTTCCCTGGAGAGCTATGTAGGGTTGCCGGCCAGAGCTGCTATTGCGTGCCATCAACATTTGATCAGAAATTACCCCCCCCCCCAAAAA